GTCTAGGGGAAACACACCTGCTAATAGTAAACAGGGTAATTAGAAATGGCAAATGGAAAAAGTGCTCTGGAAAACAAGCGGGGGGAAGTGACGGCGACCAGGGTGGGGCACAGGGACCCGTGTGGGATCGGGTGGTCAAGGAGGCCTCCCTGAAGAGCTGCTTTTGACCTCTGGGTGAGACCCACAGGCTGAGACAGAGGCAGCCACGTTCTGGGGACAGGATGAAGCACCGGCCTCCTCTTCAGGGCCGGCCTCGCTCCCAGGAGACTTGGGGGGCCCATGTAAGGGTTTCAGCAGGTCTGAGCAGATTCGGGGTCATGATCAGAAGCTTGAGGTCAGGCCAGGATTTGAACCCACATTTGGCTGCCTCCCGAGTCTCTTCTCTTACCAACAGTGATGGGCAATCTGACTGGGAACCATCCCATGGAAAGGCAAATTGAAACCACAGCGAGGCAGTTCCCTGGCTCACACCTGTAATCTTAGCATTCTGTAGTGATTACAGGCTCACACCTGTAATCTTAGCCTCTTGGGAGGCCAAAGTGGGAGGATCGTTTGAGCTCAGGCGTTCGAGACCAGCCTGAGCAAGAGCGAGACCCATCTCTATATTTTTTTGAAAAATATACATTAAAAATAAATAAATAAATAAAACCACAATGAGATGCCACTTCATACCCACTAGGATGGCCACAATCAGAAAGATGGACAACCACAAGTGCGAGATGTGGTCAAATAGGAAGCCTGGTCCACTGCTGAGAATGCGAAACGGTGCAACCACTTTGGAAAACACGGCAGTTACTGAACAAGTGACACATGCACCGACCAAGCAAACCAGCAAACCCACTCCTAGGTGGCCATCCGAGACAAAAAAACACATCCACACAAAAGCTTGCACATCGCATCACTCGAAATAGCCGAAAACTATAAACAACCCAAATTTCTTGCAGTGAATGAATGAATGAACTGTGACGGGTCTATGAATACTACTAGGCAATACAAAAGAACAACTGCAGATCAGGGTAGCCACACAAACCCTGAAACCACTGTGCCAAATGAGAGAAGCCAGACACAAAACGCTCAATGTTCTCTACTTCCATGTTTAAGAAATTTTTAGAAAATTATAGAGACAGAAAGCACCGCAGTGGCTGTCTGGGCCTGGGAGCTGACAGGCTGCAAAAGGAACTTTCTGAGGGGAGGGAAGTATTCTCAGAGGGACTGTTTGATGGTTGCACTGCGCAACTGTATAAATGTACTCAAAAACCACCCAACTCTACACTAACAATGAGTGGATGCTACAGTATCTAAATTTGACTCCGGTAAAAAGGTAACTATCAGTAGCTCCTACTTCCCTTGGAGCAAAAGCAAAGTCCTCTCCATGGCCCCCAAGGCCAGGCACGACCTACACTGTACCCCCGCACCTGCTCCCCTCACTCACCCACTCTGGCCACACTGACTGGCCTCGTCGCTGTTCCTTCATCGCACCAGGCACCTCCCACCTCAGGGCTTTTGCACTGGCTGTCCCCTTTACCTGAAAGGCTTTTTCCTCAAGTATCTTTGTGACTCCCTCCCTCCCCTCCTTCAGGTCTTTGTTCAAATGTCACCTCCTCAGAGAGGTCTTCCCAGACCACCCCATTTACGTTGTGATCCCCATCCCAGTTTATTTCTGTCCATGGTACTTATTGCCATCTGAGGCCCTATATATTTTCTTATTTATTTATTTTTTATTTTTTTTATTTTTTTATTTTTTTGTATTGTCTTCTTTCAAGAGTGAGCAAGATGAAATAGAATATTTTTTTTATTTTGAGACAGAGTCTCACTCTGTTGCCCAGGCTAGAGTGAGTGCTGTGGTGTCAGCCTAGCTCACAGCAACCTCAAACTCCTGGGCTCAAACGATCCTTCTGCCTCAGTCTCCTGAGTAGCTGGGACTACAGGCACGCGCCACCATGCCCGGCTAATTTTTTCTATATATATATTAGTTGGCCAATGAATTTCTTTCTATTTTTATAGTAGAGACAGGGTCTCGATCTTGCTCGGGCTGGTTTTGAACTCCTGACCTTGAGCGATCCACCCGCCTTGGCCTCCCAGAGTGCTAGGATTACAGGCGTGAGCCACCGCGCCCGGCCTATTTTTCTTATTTATCTTTTCACTGTGTGTCCCTATCTTCTGTGCTTCCCCCTTCCTAGCCCCAACTAGAACATGACCTCCAAGAGGGCAGGGCCTGTTTTGTTGACAGCTGTATCCCCAGTATTAGCACAGGGCCTCGCACGTGGTGTGGACTCAACACCCATCAGGGGAAGCAATGGATGGCGGAGCTATGGGCTGTGTCTGAGCTCCTGGCTAACGGCTGCCCGTAGCAGGGGACTAGACCAAGAGTTCACTCGCTTTGTGCTAGACCCCATGGGTTGGGGGATAGTGGTGGTGGCTGTGGACACAGCAGTGACTGTAAGACACACTTCCTGCTCTTGGAGCTGCACATCTAAGCTCACACACAATCCCCAGGAATATCTGCTCAGGGGCCCCGGAAGCAGCTGAGACCACAAGGACTGGGCAAGGGCTGGAGGGGATCCACCATGGGCATCAGGGAATGTCACCACAGCCCAGCTTCTGTTTCAAGAGCCATTTGTTCACAAACACTGAGCACCTCCTCTGTGCCCAGCTCTGAGATGAGCAGTGCTAGGGAAGCGCTAGGGACCAAGACACTCCTGGCTCTGCCCTCCTAGGACTCCCAGCCCAATGGAGGAGACAGAGAGACCAATCCCTGGACAGTGACAACCTACAGTGGGCAGAGCTGGGACAGGGTACTCCAGGGGGCACGGGGAACCCGGAGGGGACACCCGACCCAGTCTGAGAGGGTCTGCCAGGGTCAGAGAGGACTTTCCAGAGGAAGGGACATCTGAGATCTGTAGGGCTGGTAACGATCAGCCAGGTAAAGAGGGGAGAAACATGTGCACACTCCTGGAAATAACAGAGGCTCAGAGTAGCTGATCCTCTTTTAGTGCCTTGGTTTTCAAGCAGAGATGATGATCTTGCCTCACCCCCATCCCCTGCCCAGACATCTGGCATTATCTGGAGACATTTTTGGTTGTCACAACTATGGAAGGGTGTGTATGCTACTGATATCTCATATGTAGAGTCCAGGTATGCTGCTAAACATCCTAAAATGCACAGGGCAGCCCCCACAAAGCAGAATTATCCAATCCAAAAAGTCAATAATGCCAAGTTTCAGAAATCCTAGTGTACTCTGAAGAGTCAGATCATGCAAGGCCATGATTTACTAAAGAATTTGTACTTTATCCTAAAGGCAAAGGGATAAGTCTTGGTCATTTTCAAGTAGAGGTGGCACAAGAGAAGATCAAGTTGCATGCAGAAGTTCACGGTAATCAGAGCAACCTGAGCCCTGGTCTCACAGACCACTCCCCACCCAATAATCAACAGAAACTCGAGAGGGGGAATGATTTCCTTTCAGCCAGCCAGAGACTGAGTCTTCATTCCAGCACTAACTGGACAAACACTTCCTGAGCTGTCCCTGAGGTCAGGCCCTGGTTGAGAACGCTGAAAAGATTCAGACAGACATGGTGGGCTCTATGACACAGATTTTTTCCTGGTGTCCTTCCCAGGTTGTATTATTTGTCCCTCCTCTGGGTTCCCCTGGTCTCTGACACAGACTTTTGTCACCACCCTGATTATTCAGGGTTATAATTCTTTGTTTATATGTTGTCTCTCATTCCCCTAACAGCAGACACATGGCTGGATCCATCTTTATGGCCTATCACCAGGCTGGTCCCATTTTATGCTGGAGAAATAAAGGTCTAAGAGCGAAAGGAACTTGCCCAAGGTCACACAGAGAGTCAGCTTCATTCTCCCCTTCCAACCTGCACTCCTCTTCCCCTGAGCTGACTCCCACATGTTAGTGACATTCATCCCAGTGGGTGGGTCGACAGTACTTTGCTGTCACTCCACCTATTCCCCAAACGCCTGAACGGTGGCTGCCTGAACTGGTATGCTCTGCAGCCTCGATTTAGTTTAGGTAGCAATGGGTCAAATGCCATCAGCAGGCAGGCGAGGTGGCTCACACCTGTAATCCTAGCTAGCACTCTGGGAGGCCAAGGTGGGAGGATCACTTGAGCTCAGGAGTTTGAGACCACCCTGAGCAACAGTGAGACCCTATCTCTACTAAAAATAGAAAAACTAGCTGGGCACAGTGGCGAGCACCTCTAGTCCTAGCCACTTGGGAGGCTGAGGCAAGAAGATTGCTTGAGCCCAGGAGTTTGAGGTTGCAGTGAGCTATCATGACACCACTACACTCCAGTCTGGGCAACAGAGTCAGACCCAGTCTCAAAAAAAAAAGTCATCAGCACCTGAAATAATTACCCCATACGACTAGTTTATGCTAAAAGCACAACCATACCAGTCCTGACCACCGTAGGTCAGCAATATCTGCTAATTTCTACATGGGATGGATCTCAAACCTAACCTGGGTGACCTTCCGGAAGCGCCTTAGTCTCACTGTTCCCAGGATTCCCGTCTGTTAAATGGGTCTGCCGGCCTCCACAAACTGTGCCCTTACCCATGATAATTACCTGACTTCCCCACAGCTAGAAAAGTCGCAATAAATCATTGCCCACACCTCAAGCACTACGAACGAGACCCAGAAAGCCAGTATCACTCTACGAACGGTCTGGGAGCCTGGAATTGCGGAGTCGAGAACCCAGGACGCCAGGGTACAAGTCTGCGCCCCTCCCCGCCACTATCTCCCCGGCTCGAGCAATAAGCCTGGTGGCCGCCCGGCGCGAGCGTGCAGGGGACCTGACACGCAACAGGGCCCCGTTCTCTGCACTGTCCAGCATCCCGGGAGGCCTGGCCCCCCCTGGGCCGGGTATTCAAGGTCCCTCTGGGCAAGGAGCCCCCAGTGCACCAGATTCCGTAAAAAGCAGCAGGACACGCCCCGTGGGAGGCCCCCAGGCTGGGGAAGAATCCCCTCCGTCCCCTCTCGGCCTCCGTACCTGACCGGAGCCGCCTCCCCCGGCCGCCACCACGGCGCTGCCGGCCCCGTCCGCCTCCTGCGCCGCCGCCATCTTCCCGCTCCGGGTCCCCGCCCCCACCGCCAGCCCCGCCCCGTCCCCGACGGCGCCAGCGCGATCGCGCGAGATTTCACACTTTGCCCGACCCACCGGGCCACCGTATCAGGCTAGAGCGCCTCAGCCACGCCTCCTGGGAAGGCCACTTCCGGCTGTGAAAGGACCAACCTGGCCACCGTACTCCTCTTCTGCCCTGCATCCCATTTCTTTTCACCTGGTACAAATGCTGCGTGCTTCGAACTCCCAGGACTTTCTCGGCCAACATGCGCTTCCCACGAGTTATATTCCTTTTTCCCCCTCGAGTTAACCCGACGTTTTGAGTTATGTGAGCCTTGCAGGCCCTCGTGCCCGCTTCACCCCGCCAGTTCGAGTCCTTTCAGTTCCATGGTTCTTGAGCTTTTCCGGCCACCGTAACGCTTCAAAACGCCCAGCTTGAATACGCCCCTCCTGCGTTAAAGGAGCTTTTCTGGCGACTGTACGCGGACTCGGGAGTGCAGGCCCTTTGCTCAGGGCCCTCGTTTTCTGACTCTTCCTAACGCAACCCTCTCCTCCAACAAGTCCCCTAAGCTTACAATCTTTCTGTGCGCTCAGAGTTCCTGTTGCAGGGTTCTCATAGCCACCACACCTTGTCAGCCACCTGGCCAAGACTTGGGCAGCCTTTTCCAGCACGCATTCGCGTATCCCTAGTGGCCTTTGCTTTCTAGCAAATCTTGCAGCCCTGGATTCGGCTTTGTGGGCTCTGAGAGGTCCGTAATTTTTCATTAGTTGTGTGTCTTCCTACAACTCCAAGCCTGGACACGTGCTGAGAGACCCCTGGCCTGGAGAGGGTGTTATGGAGGCCCAGAGAGGACAGGAGACTCAGATTGTTAAACCTTTACCAATGAATTGGGTGGAGCTCTGGCCTGGGTTCAAACGCTTGTCGTGCTATTAACCGGCTGAATGAGCCTGTACAAGTGACACCTCTTTGAACTTCAGTTTCTTCCTCTTTTATATACTAGGGATTATTATAGTTCCTTTCCCTATTTTACCCCGCAGGGTTATTGGTAAGGTTGCAAATGTAGGCCAGGAGCGGTGGTTCACATCTGTAATCCTAGTATTTGGGGAGGCCAAGGTGGGAGGATCACTTGAAGTCAGGAGTTCTAGACCAGCTTGAGCAAGAGGGAGACCCCATCTCTACTAAAAATAGAAAAATTAGCCAGGCGTGGTGGTGTGCACCTGTAATCCCAGCTACTCAGGGAGCTGAGGCAAGAGAATCGCTTTAGCCCAAGACTTTGAGGTTACTGTGAACTAGGCTGATGCCACTGCACTCTGGTGACAGAACAAGACTCTGACTTAAAAGAAAAAAAATTGCAAATGTAAAACTGTAGACTCTGGGCCTCACACTAGCGTGGTGTGCTGTTACTATGAACACCGGGGTCAGCAATGTCTGGTTCTCATGGCCACCTGGAAGGGACAGCAGGCTTTGCATTGAGATATTCTAAGTATTTACTTGTCATTTTATTTATTTATTTAGAGACAGGGTCATGCTGTATCCCTGGAGCTAGAGTGCAGAGTTGTCATCATAGCTCACCACAACCTCAAACTCTGGGCTCGAGCAATCTTTCTGCCTCAGCCTCCTGAGTAGCTGGGACTACTGGTGTGGATCACCACACCCAGCTAATTTTTCTATTTTTGGTGGAGATGGGGTCTCACTCTTTGTCAGGCTGGTCTCGAACTCCTGGCCTCAAGCAATTCTCCTGCCTCAACCTCCCAAAGTGCTAGGATTACAGGCATGAACTATGGGGCCTGGCTTTGTCATTTTACTTATTGACCTCCACTTTCCTCTAGGTCTCAGCTCTGTAGTAGCATCTCTTTCTCCAAGAAACCCTCCCTGGGCCTTCTCAGCTCATCCACCCTACCCATGCACACTTTATGTTGGGGATGGGTGTGTCTCCCCTATTGGGCAGGCTGATCTGAGATTGTCATGGTCACTTCTGTGTCTCCAGCACTACCCTGGGGATGACTGCTGAATGAAAAGTTGAGTCTTTGTGAGTGCAAGTGAGTGACTTACCTCTGAGGACCACACAAGGGCAAGAAGGAACCTTAGAAAACTTCTTGCATAGTCTCCTACTTTTACAAATAATATTGGTAGAAATAATGATTCTGTGAATATGCAGACCCAGGGATGAAGTAAACATGCTGATTAAATCCCTCAGACAGGGATTGAAATTTTGTGGATCTGAAGCGTATATGTTTTGTGTGCCTCTTTTTTTATTTTTTGGCTTAAGGATCAGTTAATGGGTCTCTTTTTAAAAAGAACAAAATTTCCTGTACAGATTTAGGTAGAGGACCACAGAAAGCCCAGGCAAGCGAGGAGCTGCAACGCTGAACCTTCTTCAGCCTCATCGTAACCCTGTCTCTGCTCTCAGCTGTAGATAACAAGATGCCCCAATCTGCCCTCCAGGTCTCTTATACTGCCAGTCGGGATCTGTTGGAGTATGAGAGGTTCTCAGCTAGTGTGTGACCTTGGACCGGGCCCCTTTGGAGCCGGAGTCCCTGCAAAACCCTCCTATGTGTCTGCCAAGTGACCAAATAAATTATTCCATTCCTGCTACTGTAAGCGAGTCATAGGACACACCTACTCTGATCTCCACTAGGGGGCGCCCGACACCGACCAGGGGCTCTGAATTCAGGTTCTAATGGAGAAGGGGGCTGGGGACTGAAACTTCTAGGTCCTGAAGAGAAGGGATTGGGGGATCCAGACTCCTGAGTCTGAGTCTGAGGAAGGAGGAGTCTGGGGGCCTGGACTCTTGGGTCCCGAAGAGAGTGAGGGTCTGAGAAAGGGAGGAGGAGTCTGGGAAGGGCACCAGTATTGGTTGGAAGCAGAACTGGCCTGGGCAGTGGTTTGGTTTGGCTTGAATCCGTGGGAAACAAGTGGACAGAGCAGGGATTGTTCCTCCAGGGTCTCCCCCTCCCCATCACCCCCTGGACTTGGCAGCTTCAGTTCTTCCCAGGCCCTGGGGACTTGGGGGCATTGCTCACAGTCCCTCCCCAGGGCCCCTGTTTTCTACCGGACTCACAGCTGCCCAGCCTCCGGACCTGGGAAAACTGCCCCAAGAGTGTTGAAAGACTGGCTGGAAGTTAATGCCAAGCAGATTAGGAGAAATACAGGCCCTGCGCTTCCCAGAGACCAACAGCCCTGCCCATTGGACTGGGGGGCCAAGACCACCCTCTACTCCCTCAGGATCCAGGACTCTAGGTCCCCAGTCCCCTCTGTTCATGGCCCCAGCACTGCCCTCCCTCAGATCTTGGAGCCTCTGCCCTTATTTGCACACCCTTTGCTTTCTGCCCCCATTTCCCTACTGCCATTACCCTCTTCCAGCCACTAACTGCCCCGCCCTGACCTGGAGGCCAAGTTAGTGCATCCCTCCCCTCCCCCTACTTTCCAGAAACAATAGCCCCAACCTCACTGCATTGTGATGCAGCCCAACACACCACCGAGCTGAGGCCTTGATCTCTCTTCATTACCTGTATTGCTGAAATTATGTTCTCCATTTGACTTCCGGCTCCCTGTGGGCAAAGGTCTCCCTGCTGGTGGCCTCAGGATGGAGCAGAGGTCCTGGCTGGCTGAGAGTAGGAGCTCAGGAAATGTCACTACTACTACCAATGAGGAGGCAGCAGCTAAGGAAACATCGTACGAAGCTATAATCACTAAAACCCTTGGCACCTGGACCCAGGACCTGATCAGTAGCTTTTTGAGGAGCCACATGAGGGCAGGACTGTCTTTCTTTTCCCTGCTGTGTCGCCGGGCTTGGTAGGGTCTCAATAAATAAATTCATGTGAGACAAATGTATAGAATTTGTCAAAGAACACAGGCTTTAGAGTTGTCTTCTTGGGTCTCAGCCATCCTGGGCATTGACTTCCGAAGCTCAGCAGTGACTTGTGGTCACCATTCTCCCCTCTGTCACAGGACCACTGGACGCTCACTGAAAGTGTCAGCCCAGCAAGCCATGGTGGCCCCTGCCTGTAATCTTAGCTGCTCAGGAGGTTGAGGCAGGAGGATCTCTTGAGCCCAGGAGTTCAAGACCAGCCTGGGCAACAGAGTGAGACCCTGTCTCTAAAAAAGTAAAATAAAATTTTAATTAGCCAGGCATAGTGGTGCACACCTGTAGTCCCAGCTACTCTCGAGGCAGGATCGTGTGAGCCTAGGAGTTGGAGGCTGCAGCGAGCTATGATCGTGCCACTGCACTCCAGCCTGGGTGGCAGAGCGAGACCCTGTGTCTAAAATGCTAAATAAATAAATAAAAATTAAAATAAAAAAGTGTCAGTCCAGAGCCTGGACATTGCCAGAGGTCACTGAGGATTCACTGTATCCATGGTTTATCATTTTACAGATAAGACCTTAGTAAAGAAAGGGCCATCTCTAGTTATCATTAATGGTTGGTCGTTGTCACTCTTCCCTTTATTGCCTGGACTAGGCTCCAGGTTAGGACTACATGCAAACAGTAGGCACTCATTAAAGGTGGGCTGGACTGAATCAGTCCCTCCATCTTGGTCCCTGAGGCCTCAGACAAGCAGCCAATGGAAGAGAATAAACTCGGGTTTGGGGGGTTGTTTATTGATAAGAACTCAGAGTTGGGAGCGGGCTGGGGGAGGAGACCGAAGTCAGCTGCTGGGGCAGGTCTCGAGCTCCGGGGGGTGCTGGGGCCTGGGGGGCTGTCACTGGTCTCCCTTCAGCAGAGAGAGGAGCTGGTCGGTGAAGATGCCTGCGTACGTGGTCACAGCTGCTGTGCTTTTGCTGTACATGTCCCTGGGGAGAAAGGACAGAGGGTTGGAGGGGGGAGGCGCTGAGAACTGGACTTCTGAGTCTTGAGGGGGCCAGGCCTGGGTGGAGGGGCCTGGAGGGCCCAGAAGCCTGTGTCCTGCGAGAAAAAGGTGTTTGGAACCCAAACTCCTGGATTCCTGGGTGGACAGGGCTGGGCTGGCAGAATCCCGGGTTCTGGCGGAGCTGGGGGCGCTGGGGGCCAAAATACTGAGGCCTTGAGAAGACTGTAAGCTTGAACTTGGACCCCTGGGCCTAAGGGAGGACCGGCTGGGCCTGGACTCCCCAGTCCTGGGTGCAGTAAGTGACAGGGGCTGGACCCTGTTTCCCCAACGCAGGTGCTACCTGAGCTTCTCGTCCACAGTGTTCAGGTGTGTCTTCCGGTACAGCCCCCGGGCGGCTTCCTTGGCTGAATCCCAGTAGCTGGAGAGAGATTCCTGCATCCGGGTGAGCAGGCTCCGGCTGCCGGGCTCCTCCTGCTGGGGCAGCAGCGCCCCCTGGACCTCTGCAGCGGGGAGAGTGTGTTGGGGAGCTGCCGGGGGCTGCAGCGGGGGAAACAAGGCAGGAGGGAGAGGAGGGGACAGAGACAGCCTTGGAAAAGGACTACGCTTGAAGCTCATCCCCCTCCTAAACAGCCTTCTCCCCTGCAGCTCACACTCACCAAATCCCACTACCAGGAGGACAAGAAGCAGAGCTAGGAGGAATCGGGTCCTCATGGCGTCAGGAGACCTGGAACACAGAGGGGCCACCGGAGGCATCTGTTCCTGCCGTCCCACCCCATGCGGCCAAGGGGCTGGGATCCCTCCCCGGCTCCCCCTCCCTGCCCAAGTCGAGTTCCTAATGCATTGACCTGGACGTGGCGGTGGCCTTGGGCCACACTTTCCCACATCCTGTGATTCTATTCCTGACTTTAACATTTTAATTCTAACATCAATCCGTTCATTCATTCATTCATTCACTCAAGAAGCCTTTCTTGGGCACCTGAACAGTTCTGGGCCCAGCGGGGAGCACAGCAAAGGCCCCAGCTCGCTGCTTTTTGCTAAGACTGAATTGGTGCAAGAAGACATGGTTAAAAAGCCACTCTAGGCCGGGCTCGGTGGCTCACGCCTGTAATCCTAGCACTCTGGGAGGCCGAGGCGGGTGGATCGCTCAAGGTCAGGAGTTCGAGACCAGCCTGAGCAAGAGCGAGACCCCCGTCTCTACTAAAAATAGAAAGAAATTAGCTGGACAACTAAAAATATATAGGAAAAAATTAGCTGGGCATGGTGGTACATGCCTGTAGTCCCGGCTACTCGGGAGGCTGAGGCAGGAGGATCGCTTGAGCCCAGGAGTTTGAGGTTGCTGTGAGCTAGGCTGACGCCACGGCACTCACTCCAGCCTAGGCAAGAAAGTGAGACTCTGTCTCAAAAAAAAAAAAAAGAAAGATGAAGCCACCTAGCCCTCATGCCGGCTCTGCTCTGCACCAGGCCTGGTCCTCCCACCCACCCGTCCGGCCCTCACCCCAGCTCCGTGAGGGTGGCCCTCTGGGTGACTGCCGTTCGCAGGGCACAGCGTCACCACCCACACGTTGGAGATGAGCAAACTGCTGTAGAATGAGGTTGAGAAACGACCGGGGAGAAGCCACAGCATGGAAAATATTCTGCAGTGCTGAATTCCGTGATGCCAACACAGGCTGCCCGCATGGGGACTCTGGCCATGTCTGACTTGGCAACATCTGCCCCTCCTGGTTGTCCCCTGCCCTGCCGCCCCGGCTGCGCGCCCTCTCTTACCGGACTCTGGCGGGCTGTCCTCACTAGGTCCAAACAGGCAGAGGGAGGCTTTATAGCTCACGAGGGCCACCTCCCCTCCACCGCCACCAGCCCCTCTGTGGTCTGGGCCAAAGTCCTGGCCAACGGAACCAACGAGGGGGTGGGGGTGGGGCAGAAAGGGCAGTGACATCCCCCAAGGTCAAGCCACAGGGAAACGTCAGTCACTCTGAAAACTCACCCTTGAGAGAGACGGGCTGGGTTGGGGGCTGTGGGGGTTGGGGGGTTCTGGGCGCACCCCAGGAGCGGGTCTGAGGTCTGCACCCCGTGGGGAAGGAGGACAGAGCTCTGGGAGAGGGGCCACCGTGGGAACTGCGGACCCCACCTGCTCTCCAGCCTGCACCCTCCTGAAATGGAGCACCTCGCAGTCCCCCAGCCCCCCAAGCCCACAAGGCGGCGGCCATCCTCTGACCCCTTTCTCCAAAGCCCCCCCCACGGTCTCTCCCTTTTCCCTTGTCACCTCTTCTGCTGATTAACTCCTGGGAGTAAATGGGGTGCAGTTATCTCCGGTCATGGCGGGGACAAATCCACACAGGGACACAGATAAGAGTTTCTTTATTGTGGATGCTGGGAGAGGTATGAATATGAACTTTTTTTTTATAGATGGGGTCTTGCTATGTTGCCCAGGCCGAACTTGAACTCCTGGGCTCAAGCGATCCCCCTGCCTTGGCCTCCCAAGTAGCTGGAACTAAAGGCGCTCAGCACCATTCTGTGTGTGAACATTTTAATCCTGGCCGTTGTCCCCACAGAGAAGCGTGGGGCACAGGCTGTGGGCCTTGTTCACGAGGTTGTCCTTGGAGCTGAGGAGCCAGGCCTTGGTGCGAGGGCCCAGGTCCCTCAGGTGGTCATCGTAGTAGGTCTGCAGAAAGCCCTGGAAGCTCCTGGGGCTCCTGCAGGAGAGGGGACATCACAGTGGAGACCTCGGCTACCCCCAGGGGTTCTCTGCCCCAATCACCCCTTCCTCCCTATGGCCCGGGAGTCCCTGCTCTCAACTCTCACTGTCCCCTCCTCTCAGACCCAGGGTCCAGCCCCAGCCCCTCCCCCCTCAGACCCAGGGGTCCGGCCCCAGCCCCTCCCCCCTCAGACCCAGGGGTCCGGCCCCAGCCCCTCCTCCCTAGGACCCAGGGGTCCAGCCCCAGCCCCTCCCCCCTCAGACCCAGGGGTCCGGCCCCAGCCCCTCCCCCCTCAGACCCAGGGGTCCAGCCCCAGCCCCTCCCCCCTCAGACCCAGGGGTCCGGCCCCAGCCCCTCCCCCCTCAGACCCAGGGGTCCGGCCCCAGCCCCTCCCCGCAGCCCAGGTGCCAGGGCACACTCACCAGAACCACTGCCACCTCTCTCTGGTCTTGGTCACTAGCTCCTTCACCCGGCTCTGTACCAGGTTCCAGCGACTCTTAAGCTCTGGCGGCAGGGGGCTCGGGCTTTCAGAAGCCACTGGGGTCTGGCTCGCTAGGTGGAACCGGACAGCGACTTGGCTGGGCTGGGACCCCAGAACCCCCTCCTTCCTTCCCCTCCATGCTCGCCCTCCGTTGCTCCTGGTGGCCCAGGGACAGCCCTTGCGGGTGCTCTGGCCTGGAGCCTTCACCTTATGTGTCCCTCTGCCCCCTTTCCCCTTCAGCCACCAGTCACCTCCTTTCACCCTGTGCCTGCCATCCCTCCTGTCCCCTCTCCGTCTGGAACTCCTCCCCTGTCTAATCACAGTCCCCTCCTGATGCCTCCTTTGCCGTCTGATCCTGCTGCCCAGGAACGTCCCCTCCCGACCCCCTTAGTTCCTCTGTGAGCCCCAGCTGTCGGAGCTGCCTCCCGGACAGTGGAGGGAGAGCCCAGGGTGACTCTCTGCCCCCTGGGGTGGACGTGGGCTTCCCGGCACGCGCCCCTCAGGCCAGCACCCTGGCGTCTATACACAGCCTGCAGAGCCCAGCCGTCACACGGCCACACATGGACACACTCGGACAGAGACACCCATGTGACCTGCTGTGTGCCTCGGCCAATGACTTAACCTCTCCAAGACTCAGTTTCCCCTTCTGTAGAATGGGACTGTGAGAATTGAAAGTTAATGCATACGATGCTTTATTTATTTATTTATTTTTTTGAGACAGAGTCTCACTCTGTTGCCCAGGCTAGAGTGAGTGCCGTGGCGTCAGCCTAGCTCACAGCAACCTCAAACTCCTGGGCTCAAGCGATCCTCCTGCCTCAGCCTCCTGAGTAGCTGGGACTACAGGCATGCGCCACCACGCCCGGTAATTTTTTCTATATATATTAGTTGGCCAATTAATTTCTTTCTACTTAAAGTAGAGACGGGGTCTCGTTCTTGCTCAAGTTGGTTTCGAACTCCTGAGCTCAAACGATCTGCCCGCCTCGGCCTCGCAGAGTGCTAGGATTACAGGCGTGAGCCACCGCGCCCGGCCCATACGATGCTTTAAATGGTGCCTTGCACGCTGCAGGCACCAGGTACGTGTTAAATACACACTTAAATGCACGTGCGAAACAGGCACACTCGCAGACCCCCTCACACGTGTCCACACGCTCAGTCCTTTGTGTACCTAAGCCCCATAGAGACACATGTGCACACACACACGCACGATCACGGACACGTGTGTTTCCCACGGCTGCAGACTCTTCTGCTTGGGCACACACGCACGCAGGTGACAACTGTCGTTTGTGCCACCCCACATGCACACTCCACGCTCAGCCATTGACACACACACTGCCCAGTGTGGGTCCCCACCGCCGCCCACCGCGTCTCCTCACCCACGACACAGGCCAGGACCAGGACGCAGAAGCAGAGGGCGGGCGGGACGCGGAGCGCGCACCTAAGGAGCGACATTTCTGGGGGCTCCGTCCCTCTTGCCCTCTGTGCTCAGCTCTCTGGGCCGGGCGAGGGAGAGCTGCACTGAGCAGGGCCCTCCCCTGGCCACCGCCCCACGCCCCTTGGCAGGCACTTCAGAGAGAAGGCCCAGGTGACGGGGTGACAATCAGAGGCCATGCCTGGCCCTGTGGGCCTCCCTCCTTCCCACCCTCCCAGCACCCTGGCCTGACAGCAGGTAGAAGGCCCTTTGGCCTCCTGCACTGAAGCAGTGCAGTGGTTTTGTTTTTGAGGTTTGAGGGTTTTTTTGAATTTTTTTTTTTTTTTGAGACAGTGTCTCTCTCTGTCGCCAGGGAGTGCAGTGGTGTGATCGTAGCTCACTGCGACCTCCAACTCCTGGGCTCAAGTGATCCTCCTGCCTCAGCCTCCTGAGTAGTGGGACTACAGGCTTGAGACCCCACACCTGGCTAATTTTTGAAATTTTTTTGTAGAAACAGGGTCTTGCGATGTTGCGTTGGCTGGGCTCAAGTTATTCTCCCACCCTGGCCTCCCAAAGTGCTGGGATTACAGGCGTGAGCCACCACACTGGCCTGCATTTTTATGTAACAAATCTGACAACCCGATGAGAAGGGAGGTGGAGAGGGATCACTCTTCATCTTTCCTCCCATTAAAAAAAAAAAAAAAAAATCTGACAACCCAACCTTGGCCACAACCTGAACAACCGTACAGGACAGTCTTGACCTGGAGGCGTCCAGCCGAATACGGCCCATGCCAGTGGCCCGGGCATGAGCACAACAGGTGCTCAACAGATGTTCCCTGGAATCCCTCACTCGCAAGAATCAGTAAACAAAGGCACCCAGAACTTCTGTTTGGGATGATGAAAACATTCTGGAAGCGAGTAGTGCTCATGGTTGCACAACCGTGTGAATGTAATTAACGCCACTGAACTGCACACCTAAAAATGGTTGCATTGGCAAGTTTTGTGTTATTTATATTTTACCACCATAAGAAAAACAAAAATAAAAACAAACCCACCATGTGTTGTGTTTTGAAAAACAGCTCCGGGTGGGGTTCAGAGCCTGATGCTAGCTAGCTCTTTCCAGCGGTGTGACCTCCCTCGAGTTGCTTAACCTCTCTGGGCCTGTTTCTTCATTCCTGTATGGGAGTCAGGAGTCAAGCTACCTTGTGGGTTGCCCGGGAGGGTAAAACAGGTCGTGCACATAAAGTGTTGCAAAGGTGCTCGGTCCACACCACCTGGTGTTTATTCCGCACGTGTTTCTCTAGCGCACGCTGGGCAGCAAGCAGCGGCCTTTGTGTGATTCACTCACTCCATCATCACAACAACCTTAAGAGGTGGGCGTTTTATCAGCCCCGTTGTTGTGCAGATAAGGAAACAGATGAGGCTGCCAGGGTGGGAGGGTGTGGCCACTTTCCGATGACTGATGCTGCCACAAGCAGCAAGCGGCCCCTCTCCCACCCGCTAGCCAGCCGAGCCAGGACAGCCCCTGCCTTGCCCCATCGGAATCTAAGAAGGCCAGAGGGAGGTTGGAGCCGGGCAGGGTGGAGGCGTGGAGGTCTCTGACCTCTGCCCCGGCTCCAAGGGCAGCGGGCTGGGAGGGCCTGTGTGTTTGCCGCCTGCAATGTTTGCTCATGTCAGGGACGGGAACAGGCTGAAGGTCGCTTGGGGTGGACTTCACAAACAACCGCTTGGGGGATGGGAGCAGAGCAGTGGGGTGGGGGCAGGGCCAGGAGACCCCTGTGTGTGTGTGTGGGGGGAGCATCTCTGGGATGGCAACTCTGTGTTCTGAGAGTCACCAGTCCTGGCCACGGCCACCAAAGTCTCCAAATCACCCTCATCTCTTTCTCTCTACCCCGGAGACCCTGCACCATCCCGGACCCCCCCTACCCCCACCCCGACTCCAACCCTCCCACCCCCCACCCACACGAATCCCTGCCCAGCTCCCCTCTAAGCACAAGCCAGGGGTGGAAAAGAGTTTGAAATGTCCCCTCCATCTCTCCTTTCTGCCTTCTCTCTGGGAGATGGCCATACATTTTGAAAAATTGAGACATAATTCACATTTTATAAAATTCACCCTTTTAAGGTATATCGGCAAGGCTGCACGGGCATCACTATCTAATTCCAGAACATTTCCATCATTTGGAAATGATGTAACCAGTTGTGGTCACTCATTCCCTCCTCCCCCACCCCCCAGCACGACAACCACATATCTGCTTTCTGTCTCTGTGGAATTGCCTGTTCTGAACATTGCACACAAATGGAATCATATAACATATGGTATTTGGTGACTGGCGTCTTTCACTTAGCATGTTTTCTTGGTCCACCCATGTTGTAGCATGTGCCAGTATTTCATTTCTTTTTTTTTTTTTTTGAGACAGCATCTCACTCTGTTGCCCAGGCTAGAGTGCCGTGGCGTCAGCCTAGCTCACAGCAACCTCAAACTCCTGGGCTCAAGCAATCCTCCTGCCTCAGCCTCCCAAATAGCTGGGACTACAGGCATGCGCCACCATGCCCGGCTAATTTTTTCTATATATATTAGTTGGCCAATTAATTTCTTTCTATTTATAGTAGAGATGGGTCTCACTCTTGCTCAGGCTGGTTTCGAACTCCTGATCTCAAGCAATCCGCTCGCCTTGGCCTCCCAGAGTGCTAGGATTACAGCGTGAGGCACCACGCCCAGCCTACGTATATTTTACTTGTCCAGCTAATTTCTTTCTGTTTTTAGTAGAGATGGTGTCTCACTCTTGCTCAGGCTGGTCTCGAACTCCCGACCTCATGCAATCCTCCCGCCTCGGCCTCCCAGAGTGCTAGGATTACAGGCGTGAGCCACCGCACCCGGCCTTCATTTCTTTGTATGACTGAATGATATTCCACCATATAGATACACATATATGCACACCAGATATATAAAGCACCATATGCATTTGTTAATCCATTCACCAGTGGATGGACATTTGGGGTGTTTCCACTGTTTGGCTATTGAGTGAACAACACTGTGAACATTTGTGTGCAGGTTACTGTGTGAACACATGTTTTCAGTTCTTTCCAGTGGATACCTATCAGTGGAATTGCTGGGTCACATGGTAACTCAGGCTAACTTTGGAGGAGCCGCTGAACTGTTTTCCAAAGTGGCTCCACTCATTCATTGTTGTGTCCAGTTTTTCATTCATCTGTTTGTACAATAAACATTCATGGGAAAAATTCATGTTGCTCATGATACTCGTCCCCGATTCTCTTTTGGCTAATTTGTCTTTCAGGTTTCAGGTCCAACAGCCCTTCCTTCAAGAGGCACCCATGGTCCCCTAGGCTGGGCCAGGCACCCTGTGGAGTCCCCCATCCCCGCCTTGCCCCCTGTGGGGTGTGTCTGTCCTGGGTGGGGCTGCAGCTACTTTGGCTTGTCTGAGCCTGTCTGAGCATACCTGAGGGTGCCCCTCCCACGCCTAGAGAGTGAGCATTTCTACTTATGCATCTGGGACTCTCTGGGTGTCTCTTTCCTGGTACTCTTTGCTCTCCAAAGTCCCAAGGGTCTGTCTGTAAACCCAAGAAGAAAAATGTATTGGCGCTAAAGTATGAAATAGACCAGGCGGGAGGATCGCTTGAGCTCAGGAGTTCAAGACCAGCCTGAGCAAGAGTGAGACCCTGTCCCTATATATTAAAAAAAAAAAAAAAAAAGGAAAGAAATGGAAAAGGAAAATCATAAAATTAAACTTTGCAATGATGCAAATGAGCGCTGGGCCCCGAATGTGCGCGGGCGTGTGTGGCGTGTTCAGCAGGCTGACTCAGGAGGAAAACGAGTAAGAATGTGGCCCTGGAGCCCCTTGCCTGCGCTCATATCCCAGCTGCACCCACTTTTGGCAATGTGCCCTCGGGCAAGCCACTTTAGCCTTCTGTGCCTCAGTTTCCTCGTTTGCCTGCACCATGACTAGTCCTACGCTGGGCTGTTTCTGGGACACAGTGGTGACAGCAGCCTTGGCCCTGCTGTTCCGGGGCTCACGGTCGAGTGGGAGAAACAGGCCAGTGCCTGGAGCACGATGATGACCTGGAGTGGGCAGGACTGGGATGGAGGCGCTTGATCCAGCCTGGGGGTCAAGGAGGGCTTCCTGAAGGAGGGGACATCGCAAGTGAGACCTGGAGGGTGGGGACTGTGTCATCTCTTTCAGGGTTCCAGCCCAGTGCTACCCTCACCCTCTTCCATAGCTCGGCCTACTGTGTGCAGAGACAAATCCAAACCAGTCCCTTCCCTGACCACCCCAGGAGTGTGCAGCGCAGGGATGGTGGCAGGCGGGGGTTCAGGCCAGGTCTCCACTTCCCGGCTGTGTGACCTAACGCCAGCGATGTCACCTCTCTGGGCCTCAGTGCCCTGATGGGATTAACAAGACCCAGCTCACAAGGTTCTTGTGAAGATTCCTTCGAGATCATGAAGTTCAAACGTCCTCAGCCCGGGACAAGTATTAATAGTTCAGGCTCAGCACATCGGAGTCCCTAAGGTGCAGTCCCACCGTCCCCGCAGCGCCTGCCCCACAGTGACGGAGCACTCAGAGAGAATTGTCTATGGGACTTTTATTGGTGGTGGGTTGGGGGTGGGTGGCAGGGACCTGGGGTATCCTGGAGGGAGTCTTGGACAGGTGCTGGGGTGTGGGGGGCTTCAGAGCCCCTTCCCGGCTGTGGCCCTCCAGGTATTCAGGATTCAGTTGAATTTCTCCTTCATTTTCTGGAATGTCTCCTTAAACCAAGCCCTGCAGGGAGAGGTGGGGGAGGGGGTCACTGTGTGCAGCCACCCCCCAGGGTGTCCAGATGCTGCCTCCTCCCTGGCTTCCGGATCTCCCTGCCCACCGTCTGTGGGATTAGGAGGGTAGCGGGGCTGGTGGCCCAACTTCTGGGCCTCAGTTTCCCAGATGGACCCAGAGCACCTGGCCTGGCTTTCAAGGCTGCCATGTCATGCCACCAACACTTTCTCCAAGCCTGCTCTTGCCCACTGTCCCCTGCTCAGTCAAAGGCATTTTCCAGCCTCCCTGCCTTTGCCCAGGCTGTTACCCTTGCCTGGAACGGCGCCTTCCATAGACACCTGCGGATCTTCCTGCCACAGGGCCTTTGCTTCTCCCTCTACAGGGACGTTCTGCCCACGCTTAGGCCTGGCTGCATTTCCCTAATCATCCAGTGTCAGCTCCTCTGGGAAGACCCAACCAGCACAGCTTAAAGAGCCTCTCCCCAGTTCCTGTTCATTGTGCTCGTAGCACTTAGCTCTATCTCTGCTCACCTCTTGGAAATCCTTTGCTGTCTGTCCCCTCCCCCCTCTTAGAGAGTCAGCTCTCTGGGGCTGAGACTTTACCTTGTTGGTCTCTGTTTTATCCCACACGTGGGAACAGTCTCTGGCACTTAGCAGATGCTCAATAAATATTGGTTAATGAATGAAGGACTCTCTAACTTGCCAAGGGGAGCAGACGTTGGTTCAATGACGTCTTGACATTGTCAGTGTGCCAGGCTGACAGTGCAGGGCCTTGCCTTTACTTGCCCTCAGAACCACCCATTTTACAGGGGAGGAGACTGAGGCGCGTGGTGATGGCCCTCTCCCAAGATCACACAGGGAGTAAGGGGATCTACACCAGCCTGTGACCCAGGTCTGCCCGACTCCCAAGCTTGGGTCCTCCAATGTCCTGCCTCAGCCTCCTGAGCAGCAGGGACTACAGGAGAGCAGCACCATGCCCAGATAATTTCTTTCTATTTTTTGTAGAGACAGGGTCTCGATCTTGCTCAGGCTGGGCTCAAACTCCTGGCCTCAAGTGATCCTCCCACCTCGGCCTCCCAAAGTACTAGGATTACAGGCATGAGCCACTGCGCCCCACCAGAGCCACGTTTGTTTTTTTTGTTGTTGTTGTTTTTTTTTTTGACACAGAGTCTCACTCTGTTTCCTGGGCTATAATGCTGTGGCCTCAGCCTAGTTCACAGCAACCTTTTCACATTCAAAGGGCTCAAGCGATCTTCCTGCCTCAGCCTCCAGAGTAGCTAGAACTACAGGTATGCACCGTCGCTCCTGGCTAATTTTTTCTATTTTTAGTTGTTTGGCTAATTTCTTTCTATTTATAATAGAGACAGGGTCTCACTCTTGGTCAGGCTGGTCTTGAACTCCTGAGCTCAAGCAATCCTCCTGCCTTGCCCTCCCAGAGTGCGAGGATTACAGGCGTGAGCCACCGTGCCCCCACTAGAGCCATGTTTAAAATGTGGCCTGGATAGGAGTCAGGGATCCTGTCTCCGAAGTCGAAACACCTTGAAATCCAGCTGTGTGACCACAGGGATGTCGTCAGCCTCTCTGGACTCAGTTTTTTCAATCAGTTAATCTTGGACCATCCTCTGGGGCTCCCCCGCGGCACACCCCAGCCCGCCTGTGCCCTGGGAAGGGGTCTAACCCGGTCTTGGTAGCAATGTCCTTCTGCTTGATGTGCTCAATGGCTTCCCGGGCCTTGTTCTCCAAGGTGTTGCCAAACTCCTTCAGCATCTCCAAGATGTCAGGGGCCGCCTGGGCTGGGGCTGGGCCTGCCGGGATGGTGGGTAGGGGTGCAAAGATTAGTTACTGGAAGCCCTTAGGATGTGATTCCAGGGATTTGATTCTTGGGGGTCACGTTGTTAGAACTGAGTGGGTGGATGGGGATCCAGCTCCTGGGAATTGGCTGACTCAGCACTGCGCCCCACCCTGCGACACTTCTTTTAAGGCTGTAAAAGGAGCCAATCCCAGAGGGGTGGGAGTCAATGCATCATCAGTTGCTAGGGCTCCCCTAGGCAGATTTGCCACCTGCTGGGCCGACCTTTAGAGGACCTTGGGACCCACCTACCGTGTTTCCCTGAAAATAAGACCTACCCATAAAATAAGCCCTAGCAGGATTTCTAAGCAGGATTTCTATTTGCGCAATAGAAGCCCTACTCCAAAAATGAGACCTAGTGACGGCCGTGGCTACACAGGTATCTGCACAACCCATGCATTTTGTCACGGAGCGGTAAAGAAGACCAGCAGCCCTTCTCACCTGCCCCATGAGAGCTCTATGGCTCGACATGAGAGATTGGGGCCAATGGTTCTAAAGGAAATAGAGTCACAAGAAATTCAGGATCGAATTCGGGGTTTGGAGAGTTATGATGATGTTCCAGAAGAAGACGACTTAACTATATTTGCAGAAATGTAGATTGTTGTAGCATACTTAAAAAAAAATAACACATGCCCTGAAAGTAAACCCTAGGGTGTCTTCTTGAGGAAAAATAAATATAATACCCTGTCTTATTTTCGGGGAAGCACGGTATCCACCATAGATGGGGCAACCAGGACACAGAAGGGACCCGGAGCTCTCAGGGGTCCTCTGAGCCTGTGGCCAGCTTCGCACTTCCAAATCTCAAACTCTCCAATTCTCCTGCCCCGATTTTACCTTCCAGAACCATTGACAGCACCAGGACCAGGACCGGGAGCGACAGCGCGAGCCTCATGGTGGGGACTTCTGCAAGCAGAAGCAGGGCTGGGGGTGATCGGTGGCACCCCTTCTCCCTCCCACCCCCTCCACTCCCTTCTTTTTTTTTTTTTCTGAGACAGAGTCTCGCTGTGTTGCCCGGGCTAGAGTGAGTTCCGTGGCGTCAGCCTAGCTCACAGCAACCTCAAACTCCTGGGCTCAAGCGATCCTCCTGCCTCAGCCTCCCGAGTAGCTGGGACTACAGGCATGTGCCACCATGCCCGGCTAATTTTTTGGGGTTTTTTTTGAGACAGAGTCTCGCTTTGTTGTCCAGGCTAGAGTGAGTGCCATGGCAGCAGCCTAGCTCACAGCAACCTCAAACTCCTGGGCTCAAGCGATCCTCCTGCCTCAGCCTCCCGAGTAGCTGGGACTACAGGCATGCGCCACCATGCCCGGCTAATTTTTTCTATTTTTTAGGTAGAGACTGGGGTGTCTCTCTTGCTCAGGCTGGTCTCGAATTCCTGAGCTCAAAGGATCTGCCCGCCTCGGCCTCCCAGAGTGCTAGGAACCCACTCCCTTTTCTGAGCGTGTGCACGCGTGTGTGTATTGGGGGTCCCTCCCAGGCACGCAGCACCAACCTGGATCCTCACTGCCTGCTGCCCAGCACAGCTGCTCGGGTGAGAGGTGCTGGCCCGCCCTGGACTTTATCAGGCTGGGGAGGGGGCGGAGCAGGTTCATCTCTCTCCCTCCTCCCCAGCCTCTCCCCAGCCGCCCGCTTCCCTGTGCTCACCCACCCTCTCCTCTTCTGCCCCTCGCTGGCTGGCGGGGGTTGGGGGTCAGGTGGGACCTGGCACAGCCCTTAGGCCCAAAGTCTCATGCTGCAGCACCCTCATCTCCAAATCTCCCTGCCTGTGGGGTCCTCAGCCTGCCAGCGCCCCTCTGCCCACTCGAGGGACAGGCTTCACCCTCTCCCTGTGGCCTCTCACTTCAGGGTCTCTTTTCTCTCTAACCATTACCCCGTCCTCTCTGTGTCCCCAGGCCCCTCCTCAATCTCCTGTCCCCCTTCTCAGCAAGCCTCCTCAGCACCCCCAACTCTTCCTTTAGGTCGCTGGGGTCCCCCAGTCTACCCACACTCTTACAGCCCATGTCACCTCCAGTCTCTTTCTCTGAACTGCTCCCCCTACCATCTTGCATCTGGAAGCCCCCAGACCTCCGTGATGTCTCTGGGTTTTTAACTTTATGGTCCCCGATCTCCCTTTTTTTTGTGGGGGGCTAGGGGGTCTAAACTGCAAAAACCTCAGCGGCTGAGAAGTTCTCAGCGTGTGTCCCTCCGGCCCACCCGCTAGGCCCCCCGCCACCCCCTTTCCCTGGCTCCCCCACAGTGCATCTGCTCTTATTCCCCCCTGCCAGGCCCCTCCTGGCACCAAGCCTGTCCCTTGCTCCCCTTCCACCACCCCATCTGTCCCCCAGGGCTGGAGTCCAGCGCTTCCCCCTTCCCCACTGGCTGCCTTTGACCGCTAGTGATCCCAGGCAGCTGAGGGGGGGGTGGCCCCAGCCCAGACTCTAGGTCAGCTGGCCTTGTGTCCCCCGGGACCACGTGTCTGCCTGGGGGTAGGGAGATGGTTGTGAAAGGGACCTCACAGACACGACCCTGGCAGGATTGCAACATCCCTTTGGCCAACTCAGAGCCTCCAGTCCCTGTGAGCCCCGGCCCCCCCCCGCTGCCCGGATGAGCCCAGCACTCCCCAGACATCCACCCAGATGTCTGCTCCCATCCCCATCCTCGTGAGAACAGAATAACAACTCCCTGCTTTTCCAATCTCATCCTCCCCTCAGCTGGAGGGGTTTCCAGTTTATAGGTGGGGAAACTGAGGCACAGCCAAGCACATCCAAAGACTCAGTGAGAGGCTAAAGTGGGGCTCTTTGTCCCTTGCCTTCCCAGACTCCAGGCTGTCTCTCTGGATCCCTTCCGGGGTCACCCCCTCCACCACCATGGCACCCCCTGTCAGGCTTTGTTCCAGAACCTCCTTCCTAAGCCCTTGTCCCTCCTCTAGGTCTGACATGTGAGAACTCAAGATTCAGCTCTTCATGATTTAGTTCTCGAAGTGGGAGATGCCTCCCTCATTGCCATCTGGGGAAACTGAGGCACTGAGCGGACACGGCCCAAGCCCCTGGGCGCACAGTGAGTCAGCAGCAGGCCCAGCCGACTCGGCCCCTGCCTCTAGCCCACTGCCCCTTCCCCTCCTCGCTCAGCCCTGCGTGAGTCATTTCTGGGGAGGGCAGCCTGCCTCTGCAGGGGTGCTCGAGCAGCGCCAGGGGAAGCCCGGAGTCCAGGGTGTGCAGAAGCCAAACAGGGCAGAGGGACGTGGAGAAGCTGCAGGCCAGGCCCTGGAAGAGACGAGCTCAAGTCCTGGCCTGTCCCCTGTTGGTGGGAACGCTGCCCTCCATCTCTGAGAACTGAGGGGGTGGGAGGGGAGGGAAGTGCCAGTGGCTCCCAGGCTTCCACCCAAGCTTCCCTGCCTGAGCGCCAACCCCCACCTGGGCACGAGGCCTGGCCTAGACTCTCCTGGTGGGTGCCGCTCCCATCCTCCCCAGCCTGGATCCCGCACCCAGTAGGCTTGTTGGGAAAAGACAAGAGGGCCACACCACAGCTGGGGGACAGAAGGATCGAGAATGAGGGGGGAGGCCAGAGGCACAGCCCAGAGCGGGTGAAGGGACTAACTCAGCAAGACAGAGAGGTGGAGGGACAAACCCAGATAAAGAGGGGGAGGGGGCAGAAAGAAACCAGCAGAGGCCCAGGCCAGGGACACCGTAGGAGGGAGAGATAAGATAGAGGTGGAAGAAAACAGGAAGTCAGAAAGTGAAGCCTCCCAGGGAGAGCAGCAAAGGCAGGATCAGATCGGCTGCAGGGGAGAGGGAGGGAGAAAAATGGGGTGGCGGGGAGAAAAATGGCGCCGGTCAGGTCACATGGGGTGGCGAGGACTCCTGGAAGCGGTATTAAGACAAACTGAGGCTCAGGCAGGTTTGATTTTTAGCTCAAGGTCATCAGAGGCAGCAGTAGGATTTGTTCCAGAACCCACATCTCAGACATGGAATGGAAAGAGGGGCAGAGACAGAGAGGGAAAGCAAAAGCCGGGCATGGTGGCGCATGCCTGTCGTCCCAGCACTTTGGGAGGCTGAGGCAGGAGGATCGCTTTATTTAGCCCAGGAGTTTGAGGTTGCTGTGGGCTGCGGTTGTGCCACTGTACTCAGCGCAGGTGACAGAGTGAGGCCCTGTCTCTAAAAGACAAAAGAGGAAAACTTGGAGTTGAAAGAGGAGCAGAGAGGCTGGGCGTGGTGGCTCACGCCTGTAATCCTAGCACTCTGGATCGCTCGAGGTCAGGAGTTCGAAACCAGCCTGAGCAAGAGTGAGACCCCGTCTCTACTATAAATAGAAAGAAATTAACTGGCCAACTAATATATATAGAAAAAATTAGCTGGGCATGGTGGTGCATGCCTGTAGTCCCAGCTACTCGGGAGGCTGAGGCAGGAGGATTTCTTGAGCCCAGGAGTTTGAGGTTGCTGTGAGCTAGGCTGACGCCACGGCACAACAGAGTGAGACTCTGTCCCCTCCCCCCAAAAAAAAAAAAAAAAAAGAAAATGGAGCAGAGAAAGAGACACAGGCAGAGGAGAGAGGGCTGGGAAGTGTGTGGAGACAGAGAGAAAAACTGAGGCTGGAGCCGTGAGGAACGACACAGGAAGGACCAGTGGCTGCTGTGAAGCTGGATGGATCTTTATTAAGCTAGGGCCCACCAGGACAGCCGGGCGGGGACGGGGCCTGGGCTGCCAGCTGAGCGGAGGCGGCGGGCACGGGACAGGAGTGGGGCGCGCCACGTGGCTCGCTGGGGTGCTCAGTGATTCTCGGTGGCCTCGGGGGTGGCCGTCGTGCCCTGGACGGCGGCCTGCAGCTTCTCCACCAGCCCGGCCCACTGGCGCTGCATGTCTTCCACCAGCGGCGTGAACCAGCTCTTGAGGCGGGCCTCGAGGGCCTCGGCCTGCAGGCGCATCTTCGCGGCCTGCTCCTCCACCTTGACGCGCACCTCCTCCACCTGCTCGCGCACCTCGTCCAGGCGGTCGCGGCCCTGGCTGCCCATCTCCTCCAGCCGCGCGCGCAGCCGCTCGCCCCAGGCCTCGGCCCGCTCCCGCAGCGGCTGGCCGGCCAGGGTGCCCACGGTGGCGGCGCGCAGGCGCCCCTGCTCCACCAGCGGCCCGAGGCGCTCCCGGATGGCGCTCACGCCGCGCTCGGCGCCCTCGCGGGCCCCGGCCTGGTAGACGGCCAGGCGCCTCTGCAGGTCCTCGGCGTCGCGGAGCAGCCGCTTGCGCAGCTTGCGCAGGTGGGAGGCGAAGCGCGCCCGCAGCTCGTCGGTGCTCTGGCCCAGCATGGCCTGCACCTCGCCGCGGTACTGCGCCAGGCGGCCGCGCAGGTCCTGCATGTCCTGGCCCAGCCGGGCCTGCGCCGCCTGCAGCTCCTTGGACAGCCGGGCCCGCGTCTCCTCGGCCATCGGGTTCAGCTGTTGCTCCAGCTCCGACTTGTAGGCCTTCAACTCCTTCATGGTCTCCTCCATCAGCACCCTGCGGACGACAGGGGCGACAGGGGGGAGGGTGTGCGTGCAGGGAGAGGCCGGGGGAGAGCCACTAGGGTGGGGCCGGCAGGGCCAGATAGCTACAAAAGAGGGAGAGAAGGAAGCGGGCAGAGGCCCAGAGAAAGGGACAGAGACAGACAGAAGTAGCAGAGATACTAAGGGGCGAGGAAGGACTGACATAGGACAGGAGACAGGAAGTGGAGGGAGAGACAGGGCTCAGAGAAGGAATCCGAGAGGGAAAGCCAGGGTCGGACGCAGAAAGAGGAAGCTAGAAACCACAGAGACCCAGACCCCCAAGACTTGGTGACAGGGACAGAAAGAAGTCCAGCCCCGTGGAGGTTCAGGGGTCCAGAGGCCCTGCCCACCAGGAGGGTCCATCCGGGTCCGGGGTGGGGGCACTCACGTCAGTTCCTGGGTGACCTGGGAGCTGAGTAGCTCCTCCTGCACCTGGTCAGACAGCGTCTGCACCCAGCGCAGGTAATCCCAGAAGCGCCCCAGCGCCTGCTCCCAGGGCTGGCCCGTCTGCCACTCGGTCAGCTCCCGCGCCTCCGGCTCCAGCGCGGGTTCCACCTTGGCCTGGCATCCTGTGCAGAGCAAGTTCACGGCCTGTCTGGGGCCTCCTGTCCGCAAACGCTCTTGGGCTTCTTTGGGGCCATGGGTGGGGGGTGGGGGGAGTGGAGTCTGTCTAATCACTTGACAAGCATTTATTGTCTTTGTGTGCCCCGTGCAGAGCTATGCTGGGGGCATGGAGAATAAACACAGCCACAGCTGACACTTGTCTGGTATTTTACCGCCTACCTGACAACAATGCATTGGAAACTGTTGCTTAGCTCCCACTTTAAGGACGGGGAAAACTGAGGCCCACAGCGGGTAAAGCAGTTACTCAGAGCTGGTGGATGTCTCCAGGGGGAGACGGAGGATTAGAGGAGGGGTCCCAGGGCCTGGGTGGGGCTCGGAGGTGAGGCTGGGAGGGGGAGGAGGGGGGAACCTGAGCGAGCCCCGCCCCCATACCTGCCAGGAAGGTCACCACGACTACCGCCCACAGAGCGTTCATCTTTCCGCCTGCGACTGGTCAGTCTGGGGAGGGAGAAACTGTCC